GCCATGACAGGAGGCACAACAATAGAGTCTTTGCACCATCATGTGATGGAAGCCATGACAGGAGGCACAACAATAGAGTTTTTGCACCATCATGTGATGGCAGCCATGACAGGAGGCACAGCAATAGAGTATTTTTCCCCAGTGAAACTGAATTCTTTCTCGTGAAATCACATTAGACCAGATTTAATAGACCTCCTCGGCTCGGGCGTAGTGTTTTCCCATTCCAGACCACGTGTTATTCCCTTGAGAATAAGATTCTTTGTTTGAGTTGTATTCATATTCATGTGTCTTCTCATGTGCAACCGAGCGCAACCGTTAAACAAAGAAATGATACTCTAGGGAATGACATATGGTCTGAAATGGGAAAACATTACGTCAGAGCCGAGGTCTATTGTTTCTGCCTCGTGTCATGGCTGCCATCACGTGATGGTGCAAAGCCTCTATAGTGCTGATTAATTCACTGAGAGCAAATKAATGAACATCTTGATTCCCATGGGTGAAATAAACTGGTGAGCAAACAAAATTTCTACAACCTGTTTAGAGAGATTGTAATAAAACTGCATTTCGTAACACACTGGTTACGCATCGTTTCATTCAGTTCTTTACAAGTAGCTAAAAAAAATCACCAATTTAAAATAAAATAAAAAATTTTGCTCACCAGTACAGACACGTGACCGTTAATTGCAAAGGGCCTATTGCGCAAAGAGACAAGCAACTGCAGTATAAACACACATGCAAAAATTGTCAAGCAATCTATAAAAATTATATTCCTTTGTAATAAAAGGTACAAGGGTACCTTGCTTGGGCTTCCTGTGGTTTAACGAACATCCTCGATAACCTATTCTCATGTTATCTATCTTATACGATAATGGCAAAACAATTCGACAATCATTAATTAATCATTAATTAAATTAATTATTTTATAGAGCATTATATTTCCATTGAACCCCTTTCTACATCTTAAACGAAAGTGCCAAGAAAATGTCAACGAAAAAAAAAAGAAGAAAAAAAAAGAAAAAATTAACAAATTTACCGATAGTTTTTTAATGTGTCTTGTCCTCTTATTAGCATAAATTGCATCATCACAGTGTCAAAGTAGTGTCAGGGTTCGTGCTAGGTTCCCAAGAAATTATTCAAGGAGTTTTCAAGGAGTTTTCAAGGACCAAAATGCCATTTTCCAAGGAGAAACTCTTAAGAGGGTTTTATTTTCGTACTAAAAAATATGAAGAAAATGCCAATACTAATCGAGATGTGCGAATTTGTCACGTGATATCCACGCCACATTGAGCCACTAAGTTCTGGACAGAAAAAGACGCTTCTCCCGAGACAAAGTGAAAATCTCTAATTTAAACCAATGACAACGACTCATGGTTTACAYATCTTGAAAGTTTTACTGACATTTTTTCAWGRACAATTTTTTTCAAGGAGTATTCAAGGACATTTCTACTGTTTTTCTATTTTCAAGGAGTTTAGTTTCAAGTGCCCTTGAAAATGCATTTTAAATTCCAGCACTTTTCAAGGAGTTTAAGCACCTGCACGAACCCTGAGTGTGGATCCACGAGGTGTAGCCGAATACTACTTTGACAATGTGATGACGAAATTAATCGTCAATAAGAGGACAGACACACACAAAACTGATGTCATTTTTTTTACAATAACAAAAACGATAAAATTTTCTCGTTTTTAGTGACCAAAACAATCAAAGAAAAGAATGTTACATACATTGGTTACCAATTTACCTCTTTACCTTTGCCGTAATGTTTTCCCGTTTCAGACCACGTGTCATTCCCATGAGTATCATTTCTTTGTTTAACAGTTGCGCACGAGACTGACGGGACACAAGGGGGGGAGGGGTGGGGCAAACCGGTACCCAACACCTATAGAAATAACTGAAATCTGTCCTCAAATATCTCCAAAACTAAAAATGAAATTGCAACAAAGTTTGCATGTTTGCCAAACAATGTATTAGGTGAATACTATATTTCGTCCGTGAAAAAACTTTGTAATAAAATTGCAAGGCATTTGTATAAAAAATCGCACGACCTCGAGTACAATTCGGAATTCTTCGTTTGCACGTTACGTCATCGCGGCCATGTTGGTACCATTTAACAAAAGATCACCCATTAGCATCCATTGTTAACGGCACCACAATGGCCGCCATGTTTTTGTCTTTTAACTCTGTTGGGAATGCTTGCTACCCATCAATTTATAGGTACGAGTGTTGAGAACTTTCAAAACATCACGAGTATCTATAAATTTCGAATTGTACGAGCAGATTGTGAGATTTTTTGTTTATAATACACTAAACGAAATTGAGCAACTTAATTGGGACTCTACAGAGTACCATTTTGGGATGTAATTTTACTCCTCTTGTCCAATCAGAATCGAGTAATTTTGTACAGTGTATTATAAGTTCACAAATTAGTAAGTTCAGTAGACCCCAGTAGACTGTAGACCTACAAAACTTTGCACTACTTTGTACAATTTTGCTAGTTAACTTTTTCTCGAATTTATGGTAAGCACTCTAGTGTATAGAAATAGATACTGAAGACGTAAACTTTCTGGAGGTACCTTCGACCTAGCTAAATCAATAAAATCGGCTCCATAACTGGGCCATTGATTTGACCTTTTTACTTTATGAGTGATCCAAATCGGAGTGTGCCCACATTAAATCTAAGCGACACTAAACACTTCCCTGAACGTCACGAGAGAATACAATGTTTTATCTGTGAACAAGCAAAATTTGGCTGAGTTTAGATATTATGTCTTTAATTTACTTTATTGTTTAAGGGGTAGACGAAGGGGTATTCAGCAGTACGTTAGAGGGTGTTTCATTTTTTAAAACATTTGTCTTGTTATAATTGGTTGGAAATTTATAAGGATAACGATATTTAGTCAGTGAAAAGGTGTTTAAGAATGTTTAATTTTTTTAAGATTAAAAGATTAATTTACTAATCTATTATTGGGTAAAAGAATACGGAACAAAGGAAAAATCGAAACTTTGTCTGTCTGTCTGTCTGTTTGTCTGTCCTATCCGTCTTTCCGTCCGTCCTTCCGTGCGTCCTTCCGTGCGTCCTTCCGTGCGTCCTTCCGTGCGTCCTTCCGTGCGTCCTTCCGTGCGTCCTTCCGTGCGTCCTTCCGTGCGTCCGTGCGTCCTTCCGTCCTTCCTCCCGTCCGTGCGTCTTTCCGTCCTTCCTCCCGTCCGTCCTTCCGTCCGTCCTTCCGTCCGTCCTTCCGTCGTTCGTCTGTCGATTTGTTTTTTATCTTTCTGTCTGTCCATGCCATACATCTAACCTGTTTAGTATTGAGTCAATAGATATAGTAAAGTTATCAAGACCTCGGCTTCGTCAAAAAACATTGCCTTGATCTTGACAATTTACGATATCATGCTCGACTTTATCTAACATTTGCTTAATAACTGTTGTTGGTACATACCATAATGTTTTGATGGGATTGATATAATCATAGACCGTACTGCGCTTCCTGTTGTTGTCCTGGATGGTGTGTGCGATCCCTCTGAGATCGTCAATGAATCTAAACACACAGACAAATATTAATTGATCAAGCTTACAGGACCGTTTTGCTGAAAACGAGGCGGCGCACTAAATACAAAACATTGAGAAAGATCTTGGATGGGACTTAAAAACTCTAATTTCTTTTAATCTTTATTCGCGGATGATGATGAGGTCCGGATAGGGAAAAACTGTGCCAGAGGTCTTGAATATACGAACCGAGGCCGTTTGTTTTCAAGACCGAGGGCACAGTTCTTCCCTATCCGGACCGACTATAGGACGGTAAACTACTTATTTATATTTTTCTCGTATTTTTTTTACTTGTTTTTGTAATTATTTTGTGTTGTTGTTTAGCGGCAAAGGATACCGGACCGCAAGAACGCACGATTTTTTAGGATACCGTACCGGAAAAAAATAAAAAATAAAATCTTATTTCTTGGCTCCTTTCTTACCTTTCCCAAGCTTTAACATCGTCCGGGTGATACATGTATTGTGCACCCAGGTTGGACAGACCATAGCTGTGTTTCTCAGACAGCAATTTTGTGATAAGCATTATGTCAAGTGAAACGCTCTTGGACGGAAGACAAGCCAAGATTGCGCTCTCCTCGCGCCAGCTCTGTTGATGAGGAGAATTGATCAAGTAAACTATAATATATAACTTGTGAGAACACATAGTACGCGCATGCACTTTCATCTATTATTTGTAATCATCGCCATCATCATCATCATTATCTTCATCATCATCACCATCAACATCATCATCACCTTTACCATTACCATTATCATCATCAGTAATCATCACCATCGTCACCATCAACATCATCATCATTATCA